GAGCCTCCCAGGTTATCAGAAGGTTCGTCAAAGCTTCCCTGGGAAGACGGGATAGTGGAAGGCATCCGTTGGGAACCTGGGATTTCCTGGACCTGAGCCATCGGCTCTCCCTTGACTATAGTCCCCAGCACAGCCGTTTTGGTGTTTGCTTATTTTGGTTATTTTTTGATCAGATATTTTGGCACTGTGCACACTGCCTCCTGTTGCCATGGCAGCCATGACAGGGGCTGAGATACCGTGAGAAAAATACCAAAATTAATGAGTGAGCGAAAGTGCAGCTGAGAGAAAAACAAGGTTAAAAAAAGAGTTAAAACAGTAATGAAAACAGGCTTCCCAGCTCCACAGCAGAGCAGCTGCTGAAGCCTCCCCAGAGTGGCAGCCCCCGCTCAGCCTTGGGCTCCTGGCATCTCCCAGACCTCTCAAGGCAGAATTCACTTGCCTTCTCCCACCCAGTCAGCCACAGACCCAGCAACAGCCTCTTGGAACTGTCCCAAGCACAACAGCAGATCAATTTCCACAGCAGATCAGCTCCCATCTCAGGTAGCATCCTGCCTCCCAGAACAGCATCCCAGGGAACAGCTTCTCATCTCCTAGGCAACGCAGTCCGGGCTTCAGCCCCCACACAACAGTGGTCCAGCTATATGATCAGGAAATGGCCTCCTCCCAGCTACACTCCCAGCTTCAGAGCAATGGCTGCAGGCATAATAGCATCCCAGCTAGATTCCTGCTTACAGTAACAGCCCAGCCACAAGCCTGGGCAATAGCATCTTAGCTATAGCCAATCACTGCATGCTGTCATCACAGCTATAGCCTCAGGACCAATAGCATCCCAGCTACAGTCTGATACACAACAGTGGCTTGTTCTTATCCCAGGTAACAGCCTTCCTCCCGAGTACAGGCTCCTAGCAACAGCCTCTCATCTCCTAGCACCTAGGCAATGGATCCAGCTATAGCCCCACTTACGTCATATTAGCAGAGAACAGGTTTTCAACTACCGACAGTCTCTGGTGTGATGGCCTCACCTATAGCTTCAGACCCAATGGAACTCCAGTTACAGCCCTTCCCGTAACATGTACACACACACACACACACACACACACACACACAGCTTGGCAACAGCCTCTTTGGTAATGGAATTATTCCGGCTATAAACTAGGCACACAGTATCACAGCATCACAACAGTGTTTCAATTGCAATCAGAGGCAACAGCTTTTCTGTTACAAAGCCAGGCCCTGCATTATCCTAGTCCTCTAAGCTACATCCCAGGTACAACCAGGTCACACCAAGAGCCTGAGGCCACAAGCATCCCAACCACTCCCACATCTAGCACCCCCCAGGCTTCAATCCCAGGCCACAGTCTCAGCTGGCGGGATAGAGGAGAGGAATGGAAATCTCAGGCACTGTTAGTTTCAGGAGCCCGCGATTCTCTACTTGCCAACCTGGTTCTCCTCCCAGTTTGGTATGGGGCCAGGAGGCTGGCTTCCCTCCGCTTCAAATGCCACCACCCAGTCCCTGTCCTTTGCCAGCCCCCCTTCCTGGCCAAGTCAGCTCTGATCCCCATATCTACATTGCAGGCTCAGTGCCCCCCGCCCCCCATCCCGGGCAGCTGGGTAGGAGGGGATAGGGGCAGGGAGAAGAATGGGCACACCCTGGTTCTGCTCCTACCACTTGGTGCAGGATTTGGGTGTGATGGTGGTGAAGCAGGGAGGACGAAGGAGAACATCTGGGAGATTAGCATTTCCTGCCCAGCTCTGTGGCTGCCTATCTTGCTCAGCCCTGAGCAAGGGAGGAGAACAGAGGAGCCTTTGAATGGCTCCCAGCAAGCAGCCCAGGGAGGGCTTGCTGCAGTGGGCAGCAGGCACATGCTGGGGGCAGGGAGGCTAGGCAGCGTCTCTGCGGGAGATTTCTTCTCTCTGGGCCACTGATTCCTTCCTTGGAGCCGTGCTCAGCGATGGGGAGAGTGTGAGATTTGCAGGGGGGCAGGGAGAAGCCACTCACAAGCCAGATTCTCCTCTCACTCGTTCACCCTGTCTCTCATCCAGAGTCCCTGCCCCGGCTCCTGGGGCTGAGGGCTGGGGATGGGGACTAGATCAGGGCCCAGGCCAGAAAGGGAGTGAGGTTGACTGAGGCTGCTCTAGGAGAGATCTTAGGCAGTCCTTGCTTGCCTCCTTAGCCGGCCAGACATCCTGCCCTTACCCAGAAGAGTGTTCCAGAGAGGCCCGGTACGAGAAGAGGAGGAAGAGACAAGGGGTAGAAGAGTGGTATGTGTGGAAAAATGGGGGAGGACAAGGAGGAGGAGTATGGCAAATAGAGGCTCAGCAGCCAGTCATCCCATGATAGGTCTTTCCACACCCAGCGCCAGGCTTTGCCAGGCACAGATTCCCTTGTTCTTCTGACCTAGAACACCTTGCCTATACCTCTAGCTGGCAAAAGGCCGGAGGTCATATTGAACTGGGGCACTCGGGAGCCTGGGGTAGACAAACCTTGAGCTAAGAAGGAAAGGGAGTTCCCAAGCTGCTCCGGGAGCTCTAGATGGCGCAAGAGAGCCAGAGCCGAGCGAGAGAAACAGGAGTATGTGTAAGACACTGCGTGTGTGGCACTGTGTGTGATTCGGTGAGTGTGCGTGTGACAGGGAACGTGTGGCACTGCGAGGGCATGTGACACTGAGCGGCCTTGCGGGGCAGGGACCCGCGTGACTCTGGGCGAATGTGTGTACATCACCGGTAAATGTGCGGGGGCCACAAACACTCCCTGTCGCCCCAGGGCAGGTGATTTGGGGGGGGGGGGACCCTCAAATAGCCCGACTCAGACGCGTCACCTCATTCTCACACTTGCATATTCCCCCCATTCTCATTCTAGAGGAGGCCCCGGTCCCATAACCCTCCACTCCTAAAGAGCCCCTCCACAGCCCCACCTCCACGGCTGGCTGCGGCCACCGAGGCTGACCGCTCTGCGGCTTCGGCCGGAGGGGGAGGGGCGGACTTCCCCGGAGCGCAGTGGGGAGGGAGGGCCGCGCGGGGTGACCGGGGGTCCTGGAGGGAAGAGGATGGATCTGGAGGAGCAGATGTCCACGGAAGAAGGCACTGGGGGAGACACTTTCTCCGTCTCGACTTCCCGGGGGACAGGGTAGGGACAGGTGTTGGGTGAGGTTAGGTAGGAAGGGAATTCGGGAGGGTCCCCGATGGGGGCTCGGGTGGGATAAGTGTCCAGTGAAGGGCCAGGGGTCGCCCTGGGTATCCGGGCCCCGGGTAGCGGAAGACAGCAAAGGGGGTTCCTGGTTTTGGGGGAGCGGTGCTCGGGGTCCCCTCCCAGTGGGACCGACTGGAGCGTCGGTAGCTCCACCTCCTCGCCGGGGGAGGGGTGGTTTGGGGGGGCGGGGAAGCGGGCGGGAGGCGGGCGGGCAAGCCAGGAGGGAGGAGGAGGAGGGAGGGGGCGGGCCGGGCTGTGCGCTCTGCTCGCTGCTGGCTCCGCCGCCGCCGCCGCCGCCGCCGCCGCCTCCGCCGCTCACACACTCCGGGAGCGGGAGCGCGGCGCGGACGCGGAGCCGCCGGGGCTGCTGCGCCCGGAGCCAGCCGGAGCCGGAACCCGAGCCGCAGCGCCAGCCCGAGCCGTGCGAGCCGCAGCCCGGGCCGGGGCTGGTGGTGGCTCATGGACTGCCAGGCCCGCGGCCGGCGCTGCCCGGAGGCGGGTAAGGATCCGGTGCGGTGGCGGTGGCGGTGGTGGTGGCGGCGGCGGCGGTGGCTCCCGGCCGGGGGAGCGGCCATGGCCGACGGGAGCTGCGGGAGGGGCGCGCATTCGAGCGAGGCCACGGGGCCCCTGTGGATGCTCCACGCGCCGGGGCGGAGGTGGGAGAGGCTGGGCGCTCGGAATGGGGATGGCGGCCGGAGCACCCTGGCCTCCAAGGTCCGCGGCGAGGAGCGGAGCGAGGAGAGGGGGGTGCCGAACCGGACCCCAGCTTCGGCGTCCTGCAGCCACGCTCTCTGGGAGCCGCGGGGATCAGGAGACTCCAGGAGCGCGCGGGATGGAGATGGTTTGGGGGAGGCGCGCAGCCCTCAGTGTGTGTGCTCTTGTGTTGGGGGGCTCCCCGAGGTCGAAACCGCAAGGACCCCCTCATCCACAACACACACACACACACACACACACACACACACACACTTGTTGGGCAAACGGGCTTTGCTCGCTCAGGCGCTCCCAGCTCCCCGGGGGCACCCCGAGGACCAGACCACGGCCATAGGCACACGCACACACACATCCGCTCCTATGTGCACAGACATCCCTCCCGAACACCAGCGCCCACCGGGGCACCGGCGCCAGCTCCGAGGCCGCTCTGGCCCCTGCACGCTCAGTGGCAGGGACATACCACCCATGGCCGCACGGAACCACGGAGAACAGCCCGTGTGACATTCGGACACAAGCACAATCCCGGGCCCTCGTGTTAAGAGTGTCTCGGCCACCGTTCCCTAGATGGACCCCTAACACCTAGCCTCACGCACATACATTCCTTTTAGGCACATACCCTCACACAAATGATGTTACCTGCTCCTCGGCCAGAACGTGGGCACACATCACAGGCCGGCTTGCACTCCTCGACTGCACCCACAGAAACACACGGCCAGTGTCTGGGCACACACAGCTAGAGCGCACACACCCCAACACGGCGAAGCACCTGCAGCAGCACCTCACGATCACCAACACAGAACCCCTGCCTCACCAGTCCTAACAGTGGGCGTCTCACCCATCTTACACCAACAGGGTCACCGTGCACCTTGCAGCTAGACACACACACACACACACACACACACACACACACACCCTGTGCCTCTCTCTCCCTCGGAGGCCAGGTTGTGTTGGCGGAAGCCGGGGCCACGCGGGGAGCCCCTAATGCCCCTTCGCCGTAATCACATTGTTATTGTAAATGTCTGCACCGCGGGAACCCGGAGGCCGCCCCGCCAGGCCGGCTTCCCCGCCGGCGCCTCCGCTACTCCCACTCCGGGCTGGGCCGGCCGGGTGTTCCCGGAACCGGCTGGACCTGGCCGGTGGCGCTATCCCGCTCCCCCGGGCTCCAGGGCCCTGGGTCCCTGTGCAGAGGGTGCAAGCCTGGGGCGGTAATGGCCACCCTCTCGGGCCGTGGGGCTGCGTCCTCAGAGCCATCTGGGTCCCCAGCACACCTGTTTCCTCTCCCACCTGGGCGCCCCCTCCGCGGGTCCCAGCTCCGGGCCTGAGCCTGGGGCGCCGGCAGGGCCCCGGGTCCAGGAGGGAGAGCGCGGCGCGCCGGAGCAGAATGGGTAGGTGAGATGCGTTCGCACCCCTTCCCCCTAAACTCGGCAGCCCAGACTTGTGGCCTCCGTTTCCCCAGGAGTGGCCGGCGACTATTCATTCCTTCTACCAGGAAATATTTGGGGTGGCATGGAGGTCTTTGAAGACTGAAGGCCGCCGAGCGAAGACCCTTGGCCGCCCGCCCCCCGCGAGAGGGTGGTTTTATGCCGGGGACGTCCCCTCCGGGCCTGGCTCGCCGCTCAGTGATTCCGGCGCCGGAGCCCTCCCCGTTCCCTCCGGGCGCCCGCTGCGTGGCTCCGGCCGAGGCGGGCTAGCGGGGGACCCCGGGCAGAGGCTGGAGCTGCGGAGGAGAGGTTCCCCGCCGCGGCCCCTGGGGCGGGGGGGCGCAAGGGGCCCGGTGGCCGATGCATGTTCTCACCGCGCGGTGCCTCCACCTTGCCTGGAGCTCCCGAGGCCCGGCGCCACCGCCGGGGTGGGGGTGGAGCCGCCGGAGCCCGAGGCTGGCGGAGGAGCTGTCGCCATCACCCCTCACCCTCACCCCCAACTCTCCTGCCTTCTCCGGGCGGAGACGCCCCGCGCGCGGGGTGTGTGCGCGGAGCGCCCGCTGACCGCGGCCGCGTAGGCAGGGGGCCGCCCTGGCCCGCAGAGTCCAGGACGCCGTGACGGAAGGCGCAGGGAGCCTTCCATGACTTACCCTGGGCCAACCCTCGTGTGCTGCCAGGAAAGAGGGCGCCCAGAAGGTGTTTGTGACAGTCCAGAGGTCTGGGCCTGTGACTGGGGAGGGGCAGGGTGTTACTTTCTTGACGTGGGGGGGGGGGGGTCTGCACGGATTGAAATTTGTAATGACAACTAGGCCAGGGCATGGGGTGGGATTGAGGGGAGAGGAATGAGAAAGACCTCCAGAGATGGCTGGGGACAGTGAGGCTGGGGATCAGGCCTGGTTTCCCTGCCCCACTCTCATCCCCCCCACCCCCAAGTCCCCAATTCCAAAAAGGATCAGCTGGAAAGGGGGTGTCATGCGGGTCTGGTGTCCTCGTGGCAGAGGAGCCGCTGCGGTGGCTGTTCTTCAGGGAAGCTGGGCTACAGAGAGAGGGAGCTAACTGCTGGGAAGAGTGGGATGGAAGGGCCAGGAGGGGGCCCGCAAGGGTGGGGGTGTGGCTGAGTGGGAATCAAGGCTGCCGGGAGTGGAGATGGAGGGGGCCCTTCTGGTACAGGATGAGGACTGCCCCTACCAGGAGCAAGGAGAGTTGGTGCTGCAGACGGATTCTTTCAACAATGCATGGGGCATCTCTCTGCCAGGCCCATGGCGGCTGGTGGGGATGCCATACAGTAGAATCATACATACCATCCTCCCCTTCATAGCTCTTTCCAACTGGCAGGGGATCGATTCAAACAATGAATACCTACTGTGCGCCTGATGCTGGCAGTGATGTATATGTTTACATATCCTTTATAATGTAATAGAGCTTGATGCATCTGTTCTTACTTAGTCCTCCCAAATAACTTCCAGGGGCAGGATTTATTATTTCCATTTCAGTGTGGAAATGGGTTCAGAAAGGTGAAGTCCCCAGGCCAAGGTCACACAGCTAGGAGGTGGTGGAGCAGTGGTTTGAGCCCCGGCACTCTGAAGAATGCAGGTGGCTGGAAGCCCTGCAGAGGTTAATGGAGGGCTGTGGAGGAGAAGGGAGTGGAGCTGAGGCTTGGCACTTGTTCACTGTGGGAGGCCTCTGAACAGCTCCACCCCGCTCAGCCCTTGGTGTTTTGTGTTCAGAGTGTTGGTGCCTGTTGTGTAACAAACAGAGCAGGGGTCGGGGCTGCGGGGCACCAGGGCTGACCTGGTCACTGGGATGTTGATAGCTGCTGTCTCTGTGTGTTTCCTTTCCGGCCGAAGCGTTCAGCAGGAAGTGGACTCCGGTCCCCCAGGTGGGCTGGTAATGGAGGTTGCAGGTGAACCCTCACCGCTGCTCTCCTCCCTCCCCAGATGTTGACACAGATGTTGTTTTCCCTTGACCTTCCCTGGATTCTGCCCCCTCACACCACCTCACTGTGCTCCTTAGGCCAGAGAAGGATGACTCAGTGTCCCCACTGAGGCTCTGGTTTCTCAGGGTTCTGGGTGCCCATGTCACTGGGCGGAGGTGGGGACAAGCCTTGCCAGGAAGTCAACCAGGGCTTGGGGAGGGGCAGATAAGGGACCAACGGCTTCAAAGTCTGCCATCTGGGACCAATGACTTTCAATAACTAACCGCCGGGACAAAGTTCAGGGATGGTGGGAGCAGGGCCGAGAAAGGGCTGCCTCACTGCTGTTCGAGGCTGCTCTGCAGTCCTAGGGTCCCTGAAGCTGCCTGGGAGCCTGGGGTCCTTCAGACCTTGAACCCTAGGCCCCTCTTTCTGTTTCCCTCCTTGCCTGGCAGGTTTGGCAGCCCAGGGTGTGTGTGTGTGTGTGTGTGTGTGTGTGTGTGTGTGTGTGTGTGTGTGGGGTGGGATGGGGGAGGGGGTACATAGCAAACATCATATTCTAGCCTCAGGGGTGATTTCTGTTGACTTACCTCCCCCGTCCAGCCTTTCCCCCAGACTTTGGGGTGTGAAGAGGCATTCTTTTTCAAACCCTGACTTCCACTTCCTACTTCTGTGACCTAAGACAAGTAATTATTCTTTTTGAGCCTCAATTTTATCATCTTGTGGAGGGCCGTGTAGTAATAAACAGTACTCACTTCAGAGAGGTGGGAGGATTCGAGGAAATAATGTATATAAATGTAGAAAAATATCAGGGAGTGTTAACTTGGGTGCTGGTGATGATGGTAAAAGTGATGATGATAGAGTTCACGCTTCTAACTCCTAGGGTTTAGTGTATCTCAAATTTGTCTCTTAAAAGTTCAGGGCCATTGCTTCCTGCTACCTGGAGATTTCTCCAGGTCCTTTCTCCGGATCAGAATTCCTAAGGGTGGGGCCAGGAAAATCCTCATTTTAAAGGAACTCTCCAGGTGCTTCAAGGGCCTAAATTCTCTTCAACTCTTGCCCCTACTCTGCGTACCCTCCCCCAACCCCTTTCCCTCCTCCCCGCACCCCCATTCTTCCTACCTCTTGGGAACACCCCTCCCCCACCTTCCTTGCCTTGATAGTCCATTGTGGTTCTTTCTCCAACTCAAAAGTTAGATAGCACAGTCCTTCCTGGCTCCTCTGCTTGCTGGAGGTAGGGGCGTGGGGAAGAGAGAGAGAGAGAGAGAGAGAGAGAGAGAGAGAGAGAGAGAGAGAGAGAGAGAGGGGAAGTTGTGTTTATGCTGCTGGGAGGCCTGGCCTGAAGGTTTTGAGCCTTTGGCTGTGACCTGGAGATGGGAAGGAAGCCCCAGCTACAAACCAGTCAGACCACGGACCTCTGAATTTGTAGTTAAAACTTGTGGCATTCATTTTTCTTGGAAAAATCTGAACCATAGTTTCATAAGATTCATAAAGGGAGATGTGACCCAAAAAGCTTAGAGTGAGTGGAGGTAAGCAGTCACTGCCTTATTTTTCCTCTTTGTCAGGTTTAGGGTAATTCCCTGGTGACCCCCACTCTGCCAAGACTTACCCATGGAACTGGGTGCGCTGTGACATCTAGTTGTGGAGATGTGTGCTTGCTATGGGGGTGGGGGAGGGGGCAGGATAAGGTGCCCAGAGGGAATGAGCTTCTTTGGACACAGGTGTGTTGGGTTGGGACAGGTGGTCAGATAAGCCCTGTATTTAGTCTATGAAGGTAAAGGCCTGGAGAGTGAATTCAAACGGAACATCTGACAAATTCCTCCTGTTTTTTTGTGTTGTTTTTTTTTTTTTACATTGTGTGACAGTCTATTTGATTTTTTTTTTTTTTTTCTGGGTCTCTTCCAGAATAGAGAGAGGTTCAGGGAGGGCAGGGAAATTCCTCCTTCTTTTAAAGAGATTAAGATTGCGGTTGGGAGCAAACACACACTCATCTGATAATGGTCTCACAATACTTTAAGGACATTCTGAGAAGTGACGAGGAGGGGCTGTGCCCTGGGCGGGCCGTGGGGAGGAAGTGAAGTGTTTGACTGGAGTCAGGAATCTGTGTGTTCGGTGAGCGTTTGCTGAGAGCCTACTATGGACTGAAATAGGGGAGGATGAAGTTTGACCCTCCCAGGTTCCCAGTAGGGGAACTGGGCAAGAAAACAAGCCAGGACCACCCAAAGTGCCAGGAGAGGTTAAGCCTGGGAGCTAAATAATCAGTTGTTCTGGAGCCCTTGCTGAGTGCTTACTGTATGCACTCAGCAAGGGCTGAGTCAGGTGGGATCTTGAGGATTTGGTGGTAAACAAAGGAGGGGCTCTCCTACTCTACTCCATCTTATAGGAAAGACAAACAATTCACAGATGATTTCCCTAAACAACTACATCACCACAATTGTGCTTTTAGGGGCATTTGTTGAGTGCTCAGCATTTAGCCCACCTCATTTCAAACTCCTTAGGAAATAGGTAGTATAATCCCCATTTTACAGATCAGGAAACTGAGGCTTTATATTATTTGCTCCAGCTCAGGTAGCCAGGAAGGGACAGCTGGGGTTTGCCCCATCCCGTTCGATGTCACAGTCCCTGCTCCTCTCCACCTTGCTGCTGCCTTACGTGTGCCAAATGGGTACAGCCACACAAAACTGTCATGAGGTTAGAACCATTGTCAGCTCCACAGGAGCAGATTGTATCTGTCCTGTTCATTGCTGTGCCCCAGTGCCCAGAACAAAGCTTGGCACATTGTAAGTGCATGAATGAGCACCTATCCTGTGCCCAGATTTGCTAAGGAGCATGCGTGGGGAGGGGGGATGAATGTGGGGAGCTCTGTCCCTTCCTTCAGGATGCTTGGTGTTTGCCTGGAGAGGCAGAGGACACAGGAATAGGTGCACAATATGCCCCAATCCCTTAGCAATGAATCACTGCTGCACCAGGTAATCGTGATTCATTGCTGAGGGACTGGGGCAATCAGTGGCTGTGAGTTGGAGGCAGGAGAGGTCACGGTGGGGTGGGGAGACCTGGGAAGGATTCCTAGGGCACCAAAGCGGGCTTTCGGAGGGTGAGTGTGGTGTGGCATAGAGCCTGGAGTAGAATTTCCAGGTGTGGGGCAGGTATTCTGGGTGCCAGTGGGGAAGAGATTGAACCTGAGGCCTTTGCTGGAAATGCTGGGCCAAAGACTTTGGATTTGAGTTGAGGGGCTGGCCTCGGTTTTGCTGGAGAGGAGGAGGGAGTCAGGACTGGGACAGTGTCTGGCAGGTCTGGCTGGGGTCTACAAATCACAGCCTCAAAGCTTCGAGGATACAGGCCGAAGAAGCGGGTTGAAACGGGTCGTGGTGGTGCTGGGTGTGCCACTTGCGCTTGGCTAGGAAATGCAGGACTAATTGGGAGGATTTGGGGGTGGGCAGGGAGAGATGGGACTGGGCCAGTTAAGGTAGGGAGGGGCCAGGTGTGAAATAGAAGCCAGATGTGTGCTGGGATAAGGATCAGATAGAGCCACATGTTCATATCAAGAGCCTAAGCAGGGGAGGAGGCCTGGGCAGGGAAGGGCTGGTGGTGGTGCTGGCACCTCTGTCCCAGTGAGACCTGCTGGGCTCCCCGTTGCTAAGGGCAGGGCAGGGCAAGCCTCCAGTTCCAGTTCCTGGGCTAGTCTTGATCACTGTCCTGACCCCAGTCTTGACCTTTAACTATCTTCCACACACCTGTGGTGTCTTCCCCCTCACCCCCAGTGGAAGGCAGAGAGGGAGTGGAGGATCCCTGGGAATCCTATGTGTATACATGTGTGCATGCTCCGGGGCATGTATGTTTGGGGAGGGTGAACACTCAGTCCTCTACCCTGATTGGTGCCCAGTTCAAGGTGGCCCTTCATGGGGGTTGGGAGGACATTAGGCACTGTGGGTTATTTTTTGTCAGACAAGGATTTGAGATGTTATATCTCATACACATACTTTGACTTGGCATCTCAGAGGAGAAGTGAGACATTATCCCCTCCAACGAGTGGCCCTCAGTGTGGGCAATAATGATCCAGGGGCTGAGGTGTAAGGGGTACCCGTGTCTCTTTTGTAGTGTGTGTGTGTGTGTGTGTGTGTGTGTGTGTGTGTGTGGTGCCTGAAGCCTCACCCTTCCACTAGCTGTCTCTCTCTCTCTATCTTGGTATCAGGGTAATTACCATGGGTGACTAAGGCAGGATGCTGGTGAGAAGGAGGTGTTGGGCAAAGCACAGAGCAGGGCGGGAAGGAGGGAGAGTCAGGTGGGTCAGGGCGTTCCATGGGCAGGAGCTGCTCTAGACCTGTTCCAGTCCCTTACCGGCTCCTCCAGCTGGGCAGACACCACTGCTACACCCAGCTGTGGGCGAGACTCAGGGTTCTGGGGCCCAGAATCGGGGTTCTGTGCTGGGCTGAGCTCTCCTCCTAGGAGAGCAGTGTGTAGGTGGGAGAGGCGGAGTGGGGGGCTAGGACTGGGCAGCCCTCAGGGCTGGATTCTTCCTGTTAGCTGACTGCTTGTTTTGCCTCTTCCCCTTTCAGCCTTCCTGATTCCAGAGCCTGCCCGGATGGGGCCCCTGAGGCCCAGCCCAGGCCCTGGGGGGCGAGGATTGTCGATGCCCCCCTTGCTGCTGACCCTGCTGCTGCTCCTGCTGGCTCCATCCCCAGGTCACACCACTCAGGTGGTGTACAAGGTGCTGGAAGAACAGCCTCCCAACACCCTCATCGGGAGCCTCGCAGCCGACTACGGTTTACCGGACGTGGGCCACCTGTACAAACTGGAGGTAGGCGCCCCGTACCTGCGGGTGGACGGCAAGACAGGCGACATCTTCACCACAGAGACCTCTATTGACCGCGAGGGGCTCCGCGAATGCCAAAACCAGTTGCCTGGTGATCCCTGCATCCTGGAGTTCGAGGTGTCCATCACGGACCTCGTGCAGAACGGCAGTCCCCGGCTGCTGGAGGGCCAGATAGAGGTCCAGGACATCAACGACAACACGCCCAACTTCGCCTCGCCGGTCATCACACTGACCATCCCTGAGAACACCAACATCGGCTCGCTCTTCCCCATCCCCGTGGCTTCTGACCGTGATGCCGGCCCCAACGGCGTGGCATCCTACGAGCTGCAGGCCGGGCCCGAGGCCCACGATCTGTTTGGGCTGCAGGTAGCCGAGGACCAGGATGGGAAGCAGCCACAGCTCATCGTGATGGGCAACCTGGACCGGGAGCGCCAGGACTCCTATGACCTCACCATCAAGGTGCAGGACGGTGGCAATCCCCCGCGTGCCAGCAGCGCCCTGCTGCGCGTCACTGTGACGGACACCAACGACAACGCCCCCAAATTCGAGCGGCCCTCCTACGAGGCTGAGCTGTCTGAAAACAGCCCAATAGGCCACTCGGTCATCCAGGTAAGAGTCCCCTCCACCTCACTCACTGTCGGGGTGACCCTCCTTTAGAAATGGGAGCCCGCCCTAAACTGGTGAGAATTCCTTTCACGTAGGGGGAAAACCACAGGCTACTGTGCAAGACCTTCCCACAAGCCCCACCCCACCCTAGCAGGTGATAGTACTGTCCTCTTTCAAGCTACTTTAGTGACAGTGACATAGCATGTGACGGGTTTAGGAAAATTGCCTGATATCATCCAGCCTATATTTTCCCCCACCCCCCAAGGCAGACTCCATTTGGAGAAATCTCCAACAAGTAAAACCCCCTCCCAAGTCAGTCGATCCTACCCCAGACACAGGAGCCAAGCTGGAACAAGGGAGTCACCTTTTGTCCCAAGAGTATCTCTCTAGAGAAGAGACCATCTTCCCACCCAGGGGCCCTTTAAATGTGAGGTTTTCCTGAAGCAATAGGACAGCATCTTACTTTGCCCCACTCCTTGGCAAAGTCAGATGAGATCATTGTAGCCAGACAGGTCCTCGGAAAACTACTCACAAGTCTGTATGCCGGCTTCCTCCACTAGGCATGTGGTGCCATGGGTGTGGGGTGCTTGGCACAGTGGGGGGTTTGGTTGCCTCTGCCGAAATTCTCAGCACCCCACTCCATGGGAACTGCCTCAGGGGCTGGGCAGCTTGGTAGGGCCAGGGCCTGGGAGGGAGCCGAGAAAGCGTCCCCATAGACAGGTGGGCGTATCTCCCACTGTCATCTCAGCCTGGCCTCCTGCCAGCCCCAGCTCCTTTCTCCTTCCCCCTGGGCTGCAGCTGTCTGTCTTTGATGTGAGGGAGCTGAGGAGGGCTTGGCCTGCCCTGGACACCGTTACCCATCCTAAGAAAGCCTTCATCCTATGACCTCAAGCTGGAGTGGGCGTGGGGAGGAGCTTCAACATTTTTCTTAGAGGCTGGTGGACTGGCACCTATAGAAGAGAGACTGAGAAAGAAAAGGGAGACAGACAGTCGGGGATGGTGAATAATAATAGCCTAGCTGCCAGGTCTGCTCTAAGCACATTATATGTATTCTATCATGTAATCCCCACAGTACAAGGTAAGCATTATCCCCATTTCACAGATGGGAAACTGAGTCTGTAGAGATTAGGAAAATTGCCTGATATCATCCAGCCTATATTTTCAGGTCCCACCTTGGCCACTGCCCAGCAGTCTGGCTTCAGAGCTTATGTGTGTAGTAGCTAACACCCCTCCCAGTGGGTGAAGCAGGAGCGTGGGGCAGACATAAGACTAGAGGTAGATAGGGCAGCAGAGAGAGGATGGGAGAGAAGTAGCAGTTGGAAAGAGGCAGAGAACTGAGCAAGGATGGAAGGAAACAGACAGAGGTTAAGTCCTAGACAGACAAAGGGAGATAAAATGTCAGGAGAGGCAGATAAGCTGGGTGACCTATCTAGACAGAGGGAGGCACTGGTAATCATAATGAAAATGCGGGAGTGTGGGGATGGGTTGAAGGTGTGAGGAGAAATGTTTGTCTTTCAGAGGAGGGAGCAGAGACCAGGGTAGCTGGGAATCCATGTCCAGGGGTCTTCACTGTTGAAAAAGCTGTGGCAGGAAGAAGAGACTAGAGTGTCTTGAGGGCCCATTAGGTGCGGTGCCCAGCCCTGTGTTAGCACTAATCTTCTGAGATGGACAGATAGGAGGATGGATGGATGGACGGGTGGATGGATGGATGGACTAAAAGAGGAGTCAATGTGCCAGGCAATGTTAGGCACTTATACATTTTATTCAATTTAATCCTTACCACAATCCCATGAACTAGGACCTATTGTTATCCCCATTTTATGTATTTGTAGACGAAGGCTTGGGGAGATTAAATAATTGGCCTGATGTCACATAGTTGGGAAGTGGTGGGGCTAGGATTTGAACTTAGGACCCTTCTGCTTTGCTCCCCAGAGCTCTGCCAAGTAATGCCTGTCCCTTTCTCTCCCCTCATCCCTCACCCAACCTGTCATCACATTCTGTGGTATCTACCTCATGGCCATCTCAACCAGGTCCCTGTTGCCCCCGTGTTTGCATAGAGTATGTGTCAGTGCTGGCATGGGAGGGCATGCCCGACGCAAAGGGACAGACAGTTCATTGTTTGATGCTGGGAGCCCAGCCTGCTGCCAGCAGGCTCTGTGGCCTGCACCAACCCCTCCCTTCTCACTGCAGGCTCTGCTGGATTCCTCAAGTTGGTGCCTAGCCAGCACCAGCCCAGTGGGAGGGGAAGAAGCTGCTGAAACAGGTTTCCCTGGTTTGACAGAACAGTGGCCTGGCCAGCTCCCTGTGACCCATATACCTACCTGGCTGCCTTCAAAAGAAATCCCCTCACCTGTGTCCTCCAGGACATGTGGGTCTCTACTCATGTGCAAACACACATAGGCACAGACACATATACCTTTCCCCACAATCACCCATAATCACACATGCATGCATATTATACATATGTCATGCACATACACCGTCTGTACTGCTCGCACCTATCCAGCTCTTCAGAAGGGTTGAAGGCCAGTTTAGCTGGGTGGGAGGGTTGTACTAGTTGGACAATTGGGTCCTCATCCCCATGTTCGGGCAAATTAGTGCGGGAATGATAAGTAGATTTAACTCTGCCTGCTCCCATCTCGAGTAGTTGCTTGCAGCACTGTTGAGAAGTTGCAGGCAACATCTGTGCTCCTCAGGGAAGCAGACCAGGAAGATGTGCGAGAGGGTCAGGACTGGGAAAAGGGCAGGACACGTGCCGCTTTTGGGAAGGGTGCCACGTTAGATCACTCAAGTCTGCCGTGCTTGTTTGAAAGGCAGTGCATGCATCTTTTAATTTGCTGTTCTGGACTAACTCGTAACCGTGTTCCTTATTTTCCTCCCCTGCTCGGTAGGTGAAGGCCAACGACTCAGACCAAGGTGCCAACGCCGAGATAGACTACATGTTCCACCAGGCCCCTGAGGTCGTGAGGCGTCTTCTGCGCCTGGACAAGAACACCGGGCTCATCACCGTGCAGGGCCCCGTGGACCGTGAGGACCTCAGCACCCTGCGTTTCTCAGTGCTTGCCAAGGACCGAGGCACCAACCCCAAGAGTGCCCGTGCCCAGGTGGTGGTGACCGTGAAGGACATGAACGACAACGCCCCCACCATTGAGATCCGGGGCATAGGCCTGGTGACCCATCAAGACGGGATGGCTAACATCTCCGAGGACGTGTCAGAGGAGACAGCCGTGGCCCTGGTGCAGGTGTCGGACCGAGATGAGGGAGAGAACGCAGCCGTCACCTGTGTGGTAGCAGGGGACGTGCCCTTCCAGCTACGCCAGGCCAGTGAGACGGGAAGCGACAGCAAGAAGAAGTACTTCCTGCAGACCACCAGCCCACTGGACTACGAGAAGGTCAAAGACTACACCATCGAGATTGTCGCCGTGGACTCCGGCAACCCGCCCCTCTCCAGCACCAACTCCCTCAAGGTGCAGGTGGTGGACATCAATGACAATGCACCCGTCTTCACGCAGAGCGTCACTGAGGTCAGCTTCCTGGAGAACAACAAGCCGGGGGAAGTGGTGGCGGAGGTCACGGCCACTGATGCCGACTCGGGCTCCAATGCTGAGCTGGTTTACTCTCTGGAGCCCGAGCCGGCTGCCAAGGGCCTCTTCACCATTTCTCCTGAGACCGGAGAGATCCGGGTAAAGACATCCCTTGATCGGGAACAGCGGGAGAACTACGAGTTGAAGGTGGTGGCAGCTGACCGGGGCAGCCCCAGCCTGCAGGGCACAGCTACTGTCCTCATCAATGTGCTGGACTACAATGACAATGACCCCAAGTTTATGCTGAGTGGCTACAACTTCTCCGTGATGGAGAACATGCCGGCCCTGAGTCCAGTGGGCATGGTGACTGTCATTGACGGGGACAAGGGGGAGAATGCCCGAATCCAGCTCACTGTGGAGCAGGACAACGGTGACTTTGTGATCCAGAATGGCACGGGCACCATCCTCTCCAGCCTGAGCTTTGATCGGGAGCAGCAGAGCACCTACACCTTCCAGCTGAAGGCGGTGGATGGCGGCGTTCCCCCTCGCTCAGCTTACGTTGGCGTCACTATCAACGTGCTGGATGAGAATGACAACGCACCCTTCATCACCGCCCCTTCCAACACCTCCCACCGGCTGCTGACCCCCCAGACGCGTCTCGGTGAGACGGTCAGCCAGGTGACAGCTGAGGACATTGACTCTGGTGTCAATGCCGAGCTGACCTATAGCATCGCTGGCGGCAACCCTTACGGACTCTTCCAGATCGGGTCGCATTCAGGCGCCATCACCCTGGAGAAGGAGATTGAGCGGCGCCACCACGGGCTGCACCGCCTCGTGGTGAAGGTCAGTGACCGTGGCAAGCCCCCGCGCTATGGCACGGCCTTGGTCCACCTGTATGTCAACGAGACCCTGACCAACCGCACGCTGCTGGAGAACCTGCTGGGCCACAGCCTGGACACGCCCCTGGACATCGACATTGCCGGGGACCCAGAATACGAGCGCTCCAAGCAGCGCGGCAACATCCTCTTTGGTGTGGTGGCTGGTGTGGTGGCCGTGGCCTTGCTCATCGCCCTGGCGGTGCTTGTGCGCTACTGCCGGCAGCGGGAGGCCAAGAGCGGCTACCAGGCCGGTAAGAAGGAGACCAAGGACCTGTACGCCCCCAAGCCCACCGGCAAAGCCTCCAAGGGAAACAAAAGCAAGGGCAAGAAGAGCAAGTCCCCGAAGCCCGTGAAGCCAGTGGAGGACGAGGAGGAGTCCGGGCTGCAGAAGTCCCTCAAGTTCAACCTGATGAGCGATGCCCCTGGGGACAGCCCCCGCATCCACTTGCCCCTCAACTACCCACCGGGCAGCCCCGACCTGGGCCGCCACTATCGCTCTAACTCCCCTCTGCCTTCCATCCAGCTGCAGCCACAGTCACCCTCAGCCTCCAAGAAGCACCAGGTGGTGCAGGACCTGCCGCCTGCGAACACATTCGTGGGCACTGGGGACACCACGTCCACGGGCTCTGAGCAGTACTCCGACTACAGCTACCGCACCAATCCCCCCAAATACCCCAGCAAGCAGGTAGGCCAAACCTTGAAGCTCAGCATGCCCAAGCCCCCACCCCACCCCTACCAGGGGGCCATCTGGACTGAAGTGTGGGAGTGACAGTGCAGGTGTGTTGGGCCCAGGTGCTCAGCAGCCCATGTGGGGGCCGGCCCAAGCGAACGGTTGGAGGTAGGACCAAAGATCTGGGGTTGCTGGGGTCCTAGTTGCTTCACCCAGACATGGGTGGTTAGACAGTGAAAACTGAAGGACGGTGTGTTCCCTGCCCACTGGGAGAGGCCTGTAACTTGTCAAATCTTCCGGGCACTGGACCAGGTGCTGGTCCTGGCAGATGGGGGTTGATAGGCAGGTAGCAGAAGGATTTGGAGGCTGAAGCGGGAGGGAAGTGGAAAAGTCTATTCCAAACCTGGGTCTCTATCCGAGACCAGCCATGGTGCTTCTCCTGAGGGAACTGGGAGACCGGGGTGCTGCTGGGTAACTGGGTGGGGACTCTGTCAGGAAGGGGCCACCCCAATTGTGCCTTTTGTATGTACTGTGTGTCACCCTCTTCCCCATCCCAGACTCCTTGGCCTGGGCCCCAGTTTCCCAGCCCCAGTCCCAAATGCTTATCTTTGACAATAAAGTTCTCTATTTTTGGAGTTTTCGTTTCTTATTTTCCTGGAACTGAGAGAAGGAGTGAGAGAGACTGGAAATACCTCTTTGTCCTTAGGTCCTGACCTAATTTCCCATCCCTTCTTTCTGCCCCTCCCCACATCCTGGACTTGCCCTTCCGCCCCTCCGCCCCTCCATCTTCCTATCCATCCCCTTGTCCATGTCCTTGTCCCAGGGAAAGGGCCCATTCCAAGTATCCTTCAGCATGTCCCCTTACCCCACGTTTGTGAGGCCTTCTCCCTAGGAATGACAGTCTTCACCAAGAAAGGGCAGGTGGCCCTGCACCAACTCCTGCCCTTTCTCCACTGGTTGAGACTGGACCTTGCCAATCTGCCCATACTGAACCTGACAGGCTCAGACCAGAGCACCCCGCGGGGTGGAGTGCAGCCTGCCCGTCTCACGTGAAGGCAGATAACTTCTTGATTATACCAGCCACCTTCCCTTCAAGATCTTCCCAAGTCCCTTTCCCAGACTCTTCATCCCAATACCACTCAACACCCAGCAATTAGCTGGCCCTGCCCTGTGTGTCCCCACCATGATCACCATCCTGGGCTGCCCCGAGGGAGGGCCCAGAGAAGGGGGAAGAAATCCTCAAGTCCTTGAATTGACCTGCTCTGTATCCCCACTTTTAGGGCACTCCCCACTGACTGGGGCAGAGGCATCCTAGTCCTAACCCCTCCCTTCCTGCAGCTCCTTGCTCTAGCCACCTGCGTTGCTGGCTCTCACTCTCTCTCTCTCCATCTCTCACTTCTTGCTCTCTTGGGTATTTCCTAGCTGTGCCTTAGAGGGAGGGGGCTAAAGTCTGGGTGAGGACCTGAGTGAGTCTCTGAGGCCAGAAGCAACCTGTCTCCATGGCAACTGAAGAGGCTTGAGTCACTCCCAAGAGGTCCCAGGCGCCAGCTCTCTGCTTTGATTCTGTCCACAAACTCGCCCATGCCTGGGGGGGTAGCCCCAAAATAAAAACTGCTTGGGGCTTTGGAGGACTGGGGTGTGGGGAAGTGAAATCTAGTCTCATATCATTTCTCCTGGACAAATTAGTCTCCAAGGTGACCTCAGGCAACTCCTGACCAATCATCCTTTCTCTTTAGTTCCTACCTTGCTGCCACCAGTTCTTTCTTCTATTCCTTTAGCTTAGGGGTGTCGAACTCAATCAGAGAAGGGGCCAAAATCTAAAATCCAGCCTAAATCGCGGGCCGAATGGTTTACTGAACAGTCATAAACTGTCACTGTGATGGAAACGCAGCGGAGTGCAGTGATGACAGCGCCGTGCCGGCCACATTGCAAGGCCTGGCGGGACGGATTTGGCCCGCGGGCCTTGTGTTTGACACATGTGCTTTAGCTCCTTCACCCCTTTTCTTTCCCAGAGTCAGAAGGGTTATCCCTTCCTTGGCTCCAGTTCAAGTCGTGGGTGGAGCCACAGTGCATACCTTCTTCCAACATCCAGACTCAACCAAACTGCAACACCATTGTCATCACCCAAACACAAAGCCTGTGTGCTCAGCATGGTACTAGACCCCGAGGCTAAGTGGTCACTTTTATGCAAGACATAATGAGAAGATGAGATAAATGAGAATCTTAAGTGTCGAGTGAGAGGTGCCATAAAAAAACTTTCCCCAGCTTGTCCCAGGACTACTGCTACTACCTGCTGCTTTTTTTTTTTTTTTTTTTGAGTTTTTACTAGGTGCAACATACCATGCTAAGCACTTGATGTGAATTAACTCATTCAATGCTCATAACTCTTTGTGACATAAGTCATTATAATGCTCTCTTTACAGAAGTGAAAACTAGTTAGCGATGAAGTCAGAATTCAAGCACAAAGCATCATGAGATCTGATTTCCAGAGTCTGCTGTGAACCATTATGCGATTAACAAAACAAAACAAAACAAAACAGGGGGCCTTCTATGATCAAGTTAGTTTTGGTAGTAAGACCTGCGCCATCACATTATCCTATTAAAGGCTCTGTGAATCTGAAAAAAAGGGGAAACCTGTTAAACCATGTAATTCTGGGTTTTCCAGTTTTATTTGACCGTAGTGCCCTATCCCTTTCCTTGAGGAGCACAGTATAGGAAGACCTGCGTAGGACACGGAGTGGATTCATGAAAAGGGAATATGAAACGCAATGATAAGTAGGAGTTGGGTAGAAGGGTTTGCCCTGTGAGCCAACTCCTGAGTCAGGAGTGAGTATGACCAAGTTGGGGACAGGGAGAAGGGAGAAAGGGGAGTATTCTGGCTGGAGTGGAGGGTATAGGAGAGAACTGAGAGATGAGACTAGAAAAACTAAGCTGTAGAGGAGATATATTCCTTGCCGAAAGTTCCTTAAGAGGAAATGGGAGCGAGCCCCCGAGAGCTCATTAGATGAACTGAGTTTTACAAGTTCACGGGAGTGTATGGTAGACTTAAAGGGAATAGAGGGGAAGGTACAGGATTGGAACTGTGGTCTGAGCTAAGATGGTTGCAATGGGGGTGATGGATGGATGGATCTGGCTGACCTTAAGGAGAAAAGACCCATAGGACTCAAGGGATAATTGAATATGGGGTGGGAATGGGGAACGAGGGGAGAGATACCAGGATTCTCAGGTAGATAGCATCCTTCTGAGCCTGGGCGACTGGATAGTGATCAGATCATTGCCTATACAGTAGCTGATTGAAGAAAGAGAATTTGGTGTCAGACATATCTAAAGGGCCAGTAGAGACAGCCGATTGGAAATATCCAGCAAGTCTCTAGAACTTCAGGGCTAGAGTTTGAGAGAGCTTTTGGATCTAGGCTTTTTTTAAGATTGAATAGTAGAGAATTAAAGGAAACATTTGGTGTTGAGTATGACCCAACCCTCTATTTTACAGAAGAGTCATAGGGAAAAGATACCAAGTGATGTGCCTAGAAGGCAGGATGGAAGCCTTAGATTCCCAGGTGCGAGTTCTGCAGAGAGGGGAGAGGGAAGCACCCAGCAAGCTGACTGCCCTGTGCTCCCCAAGCCCCTCCTGGAGCTGTTCACTCCACCAGGTGGACGATGCTCCTTTGCAACCTCTCAGCCCCAAATGTCCAGGTCAATTTTGGGGACCTTGTCTGTCATCACTGAGATCCTTCAATGTTTTAGAACACAGCATGGATCGATCCCAAGAAGGGTTGCCTCTTCCTGAAGATGGGGTGGGAGCCAAGATGGGAAGGCAGTTCTGGGCTACCTTCCAACTGCCTTCCCATCAGCTCCAAAGCTCCCTGTCCTAGCAGACTCCCCCATCCCAGCTGCCTTGAATGGGATGGAGATTATGTAGGGTATCGGGAGGATGGGTCTTGAAAACCTATTGAGGATTTTAGAGGAAAGACAAAGCTCTGAGAAAGTCTTAGAGGATTGGAAGGAGCCTGGAGACTCATCAGCAGGGCCCTGGGCCTGGGAGGCTCCCACTCCTGCCCTCCAGGGGCCTGAGCTCTGGGCCCTCCACAACTCTTAATTTATGGCTGGTGGGAACACCGGTAGCAGTCCTAGGTGGGTGTTTGGGTGACTGGCTGGTTGTGCCATGTGCCAAGCTGAGGTGGCCAGGTTCCTGGGGTGATCGTTAACCTGAGGCAGGCAGATAGGAGTCGTCTGGGAGCAGCCTGTCACTGTTCCACTCCCCCCACCCCAGCGCCCCAGTCCAGGCTTGTAAGTCCTGGCTCCACCAAGTCCACAGCCCTTCCCAGACACTCCTTCCTGTTTCCTAGAAGGAGTCCATTTGAGGTCAGCCTTCCTAACCTCCTGATGGATGCCAGGTCTTTCGGGGCCCTGCCCTCTACAGTAAATATGTTTCCTGACCTTGAAGCATGAGGGAGTTCCCATTGTTCCTGTTCCCACCCCCCAAGGTGTCTGGCTTGCTATCTGGCTCCCTTCTTCCCTCCCACCTTTCTCCACTCCCAGGCCTCTCTGGAGGGGAATGAAGTGGGGACAGGGGGGCTGAGTGGGAGCAGACTCAGCGGGGAGTCCTGAGACTGCCTGCCGCATGACAAACCAGGCCAAGGAACAGGATCAGAAAGAGGTTGGCAACTCATTTGGATGGAGGCACTGGGAAGTTGCAGAGCCAGGAGACAGGTGAGGAGCTGGAGTTTGGGGGGTGCTGTTTGGAAATCAGGAAACTGTTGTGGTTTTGGTGAGCTCTTTTGGAATTAGGAGTCTACACTGCTTTTAGGGAGCTTTTCTAGACGTTGGAGGCTTGCTAGTGTGTGAAGGCTCTGCTTGAACTATGGGATTTGGCTGGTTTTGTGCTGTTCCGAAGTTGGCCGTTCTGGAATTAGACCCTGGAGGCTACGCTGTAACAGGTGGTTGTGCTGGATGAGGCTTACCGTGGTGGCCTGGGGCTGTATTAACACCGGGGCCTATGCTGTGTCGGGAACTTGCCGTGTGTGGTCTTGGCTGTGTTGGGAGCTGTCTTAGAATGAAGGGGAAGTCCTCTGTAAGGGTGTGTGCCTTCTGGGGGCTGTGCTGTGCTGAGGGGCTCGGCCTCTTCTTGGTCGCTGCTGAGGGGGGCTGGGAGATACGGGGGTGAGCCTGGCTCAGGCCGGGGCCTGGTGTAGTGGTGGTGGGCCCCCCGGGGCAGCCTTGCCGGCCCACAGTGACAAGTTCTCTCCCTGCAGTTACCTCACCGCCGCGTCACCTTCTCCGCCACCAGCCAGGCCCAGGAGCTGCAGGACCCGTCCCAGCACAGTTACTACGATAGCGGTCTGGAGGAGTCCGAGACGCCGTCCAGCAAATCCTCCTCAGGGCCCCGCCTCGGTCCCCTGGCTCTGCCGGAGGATCACTACGAGCGCACCACCCCCGATGGCAGCATAGGAGAGATGGAGCACCCTGAGAACGGTGAGGGGCGTCCGCATGGCTGGGGCACCCCAGGAATGAGGAGCGGAAGCCAGAAATGGCAATGAGACCTTACAAACAGCCTCCATTTATCGAGCTCACTGGATGTTCAGCAGTGATCACTGTGCACATTGCTCTCAGGTCTATGCTTATTTAATCTTCGTAGCTACTCTGACCTGAAAACTTTATTGTGCCCACTTTACAGGGGAGGAAACGGAGGCTCAGAGGGGGTGAGTCACTTACCCTCAACTACACATGGGAAGCAACAGAGCTGGGGGGGTTCCAACTCAGGCTTCTCTGGCTCCAAAGACCTTGCATTCAGCACCCCATTCTCTGCCTCCCTGGGGATAGGGTCCCTGAGAATGGTGGCCAAAGGGCTGTGGTAATGTAACCTTCCTCTCCTTGAGGGAATCTTGAGGTAAAGAGGGTACCCTGGAGGCTTTAAGGATACCAGAGAAGGGTATTATTATTATCATCCCCTTGTGGGAAGAAGCAGGTGAGGAAAGGGGGTGGGAAGGGTAGGCTAATCTGGGAAGGGATTGGAGGGTGCTGGCAGAAGGGATGTCCTGGCTGGAGCCGAGGTCAGTGTGGGACTATGAGATGGGTGAGCTGAGAGAATGTGGTGCCGCGTATGGTGTGGTGTGTGTGTGTTGTGTGTGTGTGAAGGTGTCCATAGCAGCCTGTGGAGGGGCACGATGATAAGCCTCCCCTTGGGATGGAGAGACTTGCCACCTTGGAAATGTCCTTGGGTCTTGCCCCCTCCCTCAGTGCAAACTCTCCCAGCACTCCTCCCCCACCCCCAAAAGATGCAAAGGTCCACTTCCACCCCTTAGGCACGGGGCCCTTCTCTAACCTCCCAAGCCCCGGGTCTCAGAGTGCCCTTGCCCCCACCCTGCCCCTCCATGCTCTGTCTCATGCCCATCTCGTCCTTTTTGTGCCCGCGCAGAGCCGGCTGGTCGGAGCAGGCCCTGAGGCAGAGTGCCAGGTATGTGGGAGCTACTCTGGGGTCTGGGGGACTCGGTCCAGCACCCAGCCCCACCCACCCAGGGCCCCTGCTCTGCGCCATGCTACCGTGGGTCCCCCAACTCTGCCTTGAGCTGAAGAGCCTTGGCATTTTGAGGGTTAACAACAGAGCTGTCCCCTCCTCACCTTGCATTGGCTGGAGGCCAGACCAAGGTGGGTGGTGTCAAGGGAGCCACTACCACAGCCCTTGCTGCTCCCCTGAGGTGGGGTCACCGCCTGGTACTGTCCCTGAGTGAGGGCAGGACAGGGGCAGCTATAACAGGAAGTGCTCCTGGCTTTAGCCATCCCCATGGAGATCCTGCTGCCCAGCAACCACACCAGCTACTGCTGATGTCAGGCAGCCAACTCCTGTTCCCGTGGGTGTTCTGGGCAGGGAGCCGGGGCAAGGCCAGGGGTGGTGGTTGGTGTAGGGGGCTGGAGTGAGGTGGGGAGGAGCTGCACGAGTGTGCTTGTGGGTGTGTGAGTGTGTGCTTCTCTGTGAGCTCCCCACACAGAAGCTCGTCTCCTCCACAGCTTTATGGCAGGGCCTTGCTGCTCTGGGGTGGAGTGGGGTTCCAGAGTAGCTGGGAGCCTGGGGAGGCTTGAGCGGGTTCAGAAGGAAGGTATGTGTCCCCCTTTGTCTGAGGATAGAGAAGCCCAGTATAGTCTTGTGTGCCCACACTTACCTGAGGACAGGTGTGTGTGTGTGTGTGTGTGTGTGTGTGTGAGAGAGAGAGAGAGAGAGAGAGAGAGAGAGAGAGAGAGAGAGAGAGAGAGAGAGAGACAGAGAGAGAGAGAAAGAGAAAGAGAAACAGAGAGAGAGAGACAGAGAGAGAGACAGAGAGAGACAGAGAGAGAGACAGAGAGAGAGAGACTTTAAATGAGGATGGGGTTTCTTCACCGCTGTTGGAGGGTAGATTTGTGGATGACAGAGTGCGTAGATGAGTTGCATGTTCGCGCGCCAGTCTGAGGGCAGAGTTGGTGGGTGTGCGTGAGCAGAGCTGGAGGGTGGGTGAGGATGGAAGGAATGTTTCTATTTAAGGGTGGATTTAGTGTGCGTGAGAGAGTGAGCATGTGGTGGACGGTGGGGCCTATGTCTGTTTGAGGAGATGTGCCTCTGAGCTCAGTGGGCAGTGGGGGAGGAGGGGTGCCAGTTCCGAGGTGCCAGCGGGAGGCCCGGAGCAGAGCTTCGCAAGGCCGCCCTCCCTGAGGACCGCCCCGGCTCTCTCCTGCAGACCTGCGCCCTTTGCCTGACGTCGCCATGACGGGCACGTGCACCCGGGAGTGCAGCGAGTTTGGCCACTCCGACACGTGCTGGATGCCCGGCCAGTCGTCTCCCAGCCGCCGGACCAAGAGCAGCGCCCTCAAACTCTCCACCTTCGTGCCTTACCAGGACCGAGGAGGGCAGGAGCCCGCGGGCGCCGGCAGCCCCAGCCCCCCGGAAGACCGGAACACCAAAACGGCCCCCGTGCGCCTCCTGCCCTCCTACAGTGCCTTCTCCCACAGTAGCCATGACTCCTGCAAGGACGCGGCCACCTTGGAGGAGATCCCCCTGACCCAGACCTCGGACTTCCAACCGGCAGCCGCACCGGCACCTGCCCAGACGGCCAAGCGCGAGATCTACCTGTGAGCCCCCTCCTGGCCCGCGGCCACCCCCTGGCCCGGCCGCCGGCCAGCTCCCCGACGGGTCCATTCCAGGGCCCCCCTCCTGACCCCTCCAGCGTGGACTTCCTGGCCAGGGCCCCAAGTGGGGGGCACGGGGCAGTACTGGCCTCATGACCACGCTGGCCCTTCCCCTATGCAGGGTCCAGGTCCTCTTCCCTCACCTCCCCCCCTGGGGAGCCCCCTCTCCCTCTTCCTGGGACTTCCCCAGCTGATGCCCAAGAGAGCTCTTCTACAGCGACCAGGCTCCCATCCCTCGGCTTCCAGGGAGCACCCCCTCCTTTGGGTAGACGGTGGGATCAAGGGCGGGCAGCACACTCTTAACTCATTGTTCCCCGCATGGCCGACCAGGCGGAGAGAGGGTGCCCCCATTCCAGCACTGAAGCAGGGCAGACCTGGGGAACCCCCAGAGGCATCTCCTGATCGCGGAGGGGCTCCCGGAAGGGCTGTTGTTACCAAAGGTGGGGTGGGGATGGGGTGGGAGTGGGCGGAGGCCTTGTCTTCCCATCCTCCTGGGCTGAGCTGCCCACCACACGCCCATGCCTGTCCCACCTGCGCCCCCTGCCCTGCTGGTCATGCAGTGTCTGTATATAAGGACCTTGGAATGATGTCCCCATTTCTGCCTGATTTGCAACTTTTCTCGTTGATGTTGTGTTGTCTTGGGGGACCCCTCTGGGGGGTACCTGCCCTGTGTCCCCCCACCCCAGGCCTCTATTGTTCCATGTTGTAAATACCTGGGGCCGTGGCGGGATGGGGGTGCAGGCCAGGGAAACAACGGGTGGGTGGGGGTGGAGACGGGGGTAACATTCGCCTATCAGCAGAGCTGGGCTTTTATTTAATTTTTTTTTAGAAAAAAAAAATACAAATCTCTATTTTTTTGGAACTGTTGCGCTGTGCCCTGGGGGGAGGTCCCCGCTCAGGCTGGCCCTCCCACATCCCGATGAGCATCACAGAGGGGCCCCGAGACTGTGGGGGCAGCCAGACAGGGGTGGGACGACTGTGCCTCTGGCCTGGTTGGGTGCGTTGGGAGCAGGAAGGTTTGCTCAGGGGGTGGCTGACTGCTGCCCCCAATAGGGGGGACCTGCACCCTGCTTCCTCCCTGCCCCCCAGCCCCTGCCATGACTGACCCGTCAGCCTGTAAAACCACCATTGCCTTGATCTCGGGGTGGGAAGGGCTGCCTAAGGGCACCCTGGGCTCCTGGCCCCCTTCTTCCAGTTGGGCTTCCCTTTGCCAGGGTCAGGGGTCCCATGGGGGAGCGGGTAAGGGAGATTGGGGGGCAGAGAAGCCCAGTCAGCCATGATGAGGTGGGATTCCTTCCTTCACCTCAGGGGGCCAGGGTGTGAGGGGCATCCTGTAGAGCCCCCGCCTCCCACTGTGGCCATCTCAAAGCCTCAGTCCCTCTTCCTTCCAGAACCCCCCATTGCCTTGGCCCATACCTCTCCAGCGCCCCAGAGGCCCAGGCTGGGAGTCTGGAGACTCAGGGTATGGCCCTTGCTTGGCTTAGTCTAAGCTTGGGGGGTGGCCCAAGGGTGGGAGAGGTGGGTACAGGCTGCTGGCTTGTCTGGTGCCTTTGGGAGCTGTGTTGCTGGGGTCTTGACCTCTGTAACCCCAGAGACCCCCACCTCCACCGCAGAAAAGCCAGGGGGCTGGGAATTATCCTAAACTCTGCTCCTTGCCTCCAACTCGGCTTTGAGTAACTGCTGGGAAGGAGAGCATGGTTAGGCTGGTGGCCCCAGCGTACACAGCTCTTGTACGGAAGGCAGGGGGTAGACTGAGCTGGGGTGGCAGCAACTAGGTCTAGGGGTTAGCCAAAGGCTCCTTTCCCTGGGGGAGGCCCAGGAAGTGGGCTGGGGCTCGTTAAAGAGACAGCCCCTTCCCCCTGCACAAACGGGGCAGGTGCAATAGCGGTGGAGTTGGTTAACATGAGGCACCCGGCTGGTGGGGCAGTGGCTTCCTGGGTCTTGGAGGTCGGGATCCTTGCAAGCAGATTGTAGGAGGCCCATCTGCTCGGTGGAGAGGGTGGTCCAGACAGGAGGCATTCCCGGGGTCAGTGGACGCCCCCAGAAGCTCCTGGTGGCCAGGGCATCCGGCTCTGGCCTTGGAGACCCCTGAGCACTGGGCGGAAGGGCAGGGAAGCATTTTGCACAATGGAGAAGCCAGAAGGAAGGGGCTGCCCAGATGGCTGGGAGGGCTGAGAAGCACAGAGGAGGAGCCCTTCCCCAGACCAAGGCAGAGCCCCTGGCCCCCTGGTTGGGGTCGGGGTACGCCGCGTCTCACCACCTGGACACTTGAGAGGTGAAACCAAAGGTGGGCCGGGGACGGGGGACAGCACCGGGGACCGCTCCTGCTGGTCCTAGGTTTGCGAGGCCCTTCCCCAATGCCTTGTGTCGCGTACAGTTTTATGTACAAAGAGGCGACATGTGGCCAGAGGAGACCCCCTCAAACCCAGCCGGACCCAGTCAGTGTCTTCCTAGAGGGGACCTAGCCGGCCCCCACACCCCCTACTTCAGAGCATGTCTCTCGGTGGGGGGAGGGTATTCGGGGACATATTTTCCTCCCTGGGTCTCTGAAGTGCATCTCCTGGCCCAGGGGGAAGGTCTCTGGAGCATCCCTCACCTCTGGGGGCTCCCTAGCCCCTCTCTCTCCCCTCGGGAGTCTCTGAGGGGACATGTATTCCCGCTGGGGACCATGGGAGCGTGTCTCCCCTTACCCAGGCTCCCTGGGGAGCCTGTTTTCCTCCCAGGATTCCTGGGAGCACTTAAGGCATGTCCGTGGTGGGCCACCTCCCTTCCCAGGGAAGGGAGCGATCTCTGAAGCATGTCCGGGAAGGGATGTCCCTGGCCCTCCCTGCGCCTCTGCTCCGGGAGTCTCCGACCTGCAGCACTTTGGGGCAAGACTGGACAACTCTTGAGTTGTCTTTTCTCCTAGGGGGTCTGGGGTGCCTCTCTCTCTCCTGAGGGGGCCCCTGCCTCTGGAGCCATTTCTTCCCTGGGTGGGGGCTGTCTCCTGGTGGCGGGAGGGCTCGAGTTGGCCATGAGAGTCTCTTCGGGGGCGTCTCTACGTGGGACTTCTCTGGGAGGGGGGACTGTGTCTCGCCCGCGGGGTCCCCCGGCGGGTGTGACTGCCCCCGGGGAGGAGGAGACCGTGTCTCCTCTGGGTATCTGAGTGGGGAGGGGGGCCGTGTCTCTCTCGTGTGTCGGGGGGTGGGGTCGGGGAGGGGGGTTTGGGGCGCGTCAGGCGCCCACACTGGGGTCGTGTTTCTCTCGGTTCGTGCCGCTTCCCACCGCCTCGCTCCCCCGGGAAGGGCCCCGCCCCGGCCCCGCGCCACCCCCACCCCCATCCCCACCCCCTCCCCCTCCCTCCCTGGCGCTGCGAGCACAATCCCGTTGATTTGTAATGATTTCTGTCTCTTTCTGTCTTTCTCTTTCTCTGATCTCCTCCCACCCCCGCCCCCCGCCGCGAGCATGCGCAGGCACCGCCCCCGCCCCCTCCGGTTCGGTTCGTTTCCGGTTTGTTTGCTGAGCTGTCAATGGAAGACCCGTGTAATTATTTCCGAGCTTTACAATAAAAGTGTGAAAACCGGACCCCACGTCGCTTCTTCCGGGCCTTCGGGCCTGCGTCCCCGGGGGCACTGGAGGCCACCTCTGGGGTTCGAGGCCTCGGATGGGGCCGGGGGACGTGCTCGGGGGAGAGGGGCCCGGATCCACGCCGGGATCGATCCTGTGCCGAGCGGAATGGGGGCGGGAAGGTCGCAGGCCGAGGACAGACTTTTTACTTCATGCACCTCCAAGAGCCCCCCAGCCGATCGCTGAGCCGATCCGCTCCAGGCACCCTAACCCTACAGGAGCTGAGGTGCAGGCTAGGGGTGCGTGTGGGGTGCGGAGCTGGGCAGCTGCGCTGTGCTGCCTCCTACCCACGAGCATGGACCCATTCCCGCTCCCCCGCCTTTGGCAACAAGCACGAAATGCCTGCCGTGCTGGATGGGAACAGGGACGGGAGGCATCTGTCTGTCGCTCCCTCCCACGCTTCAGGCACGAGGGTTGCAAGTCGATTTGGGGACCAAAAAGGTCTGAGTCCTCTTCTCCGACAGCCTTTCCCCCCTCGCGCCCTCCTTCACCTCCTCCCCCTTCCGGCTGAGCGCCGGCCTCCTCACTCCGGCTCCCGGCTCCCGGGTAAACACCCTCTCGGGAGCCGTCCAAGAACAGAGACCGGATCAGCCGGTTTCCTGGCCCCGCCTCCCGGGGCTCCCCGTCACCCCCACCCCCCACTCCCTGCCAGCGCCCCTACTCAGCGGGGAGCTTGTCCCCCGCCCGCGCGGCGTGGGCCTGGCTCCAGGACACCCGGGTCGGGTCGGCTGCAGGGATTAGCCAGCGCAGGGGCTAATCTTGGATGAGCCTCTGTGTAAACCCGGATCGGCCGCTGGTATGGTGGGGTTCCCGGGTGCCCCTTCATCCATCCCCACAGGCCGGGCTTCGCAGGACCTGGCACCCACTCCAGGACCCCTCACCACATTGGAAGTGGGAGGTGGGGAAGGAAGGGCAAAAGCCCCTCTGGTTGTTTCTGAATCCACAAGGTCAGGCCAGCTCCCTGGCTGAGTGTGCAACCTGGTCCCCCTGCCAGTCTTCCGGTTACAGAACCGCCAGCCCTCTATCAGCGGCAGGGTGACTGGCCCCTAACCTGCAGCCTCACCTTCAGATCGGAGGAGGCACTGCATCAACCCGAGGGCCCGGTATCATCCCCACCCCTGACCTGGCCAGACTGTGCGGGATGAGGAGCTTCCATTAAGCCCACGTCCTAGAAACGATGTGTGGGATCAGAGACGTGGGTACTAACTCCTGCCTCTGGTTGGTTCACTCATTCCACAAACATGCCCTGAGCCCCTCCTTGTGCCAGCCCAGAACGAGGAACTGGGGCACTCCGAGAGTGACACACGCGGTCTCTATGGGAAAGGCAGACAGGTAAACAATGACCACATCATGTGTTCGGCCCTGCCCTGGAAATCCAGGCTGGAGAGGCAAAGTGGGTGTTTCCTGCAGTGAATCCAGAAGGCTTCCTGGAAGGAGTGGTGCCGGTTGGTGCCGAGTTTCCACGGGCAGACGGAACAGCCCGCTGCGGAAGCACTCAGTGTGGCATGGCTCAGGGAGCAGTGTGTGCAAAGGCCTGGGGGTGGAGGGCGAGAAGGGGAGGGCGTTTAGGAAGGCGGGGGCCAGAACTAGAAGGGCCTGCTGGTCCACCTACGGAGGGCTAACGGGGGCCTTTTCAGGATCCTAAGCCTCTGAAAGAAAAGGTCAGCTTTCCATGCTTCACAGATTCTAATTGTCCTCTTTCTTCCTCTGCCCCGGTTTATCTGGCAATGCCTGGGTTGGGAGTAGAGACGCACCCAGAGACAGACCGGAAGAGGACTCTGGTGCAATGTAGGGTTAGGAAAATGGTCCCCACCTCCTTCCATCACACCTGGAGTCAAAGACCTACCTTGGAACCCTGGCTGCGCGCACACTTCCTAGCGGTATGACCTTGGAAAGGTGATTGAACCTTGATTATTTTATCTGTCAAGTGAGGAGACGAATGTTTACCATCCCAGACCATTACTGTGAGGCCTCAATAAAAGACTTTATCCACTCCTTTATTTAACGTATGTGGAGCACCTACTATGTGTCAGGGCCTGTGCCAGGTGCTGGCGTCACAGCACTGAATCAGACAGGCGTGATCTCTACTGTCTCTTGGGACTTACATTCTGGAAGATAGGCAATAAACAAACAAATGAGATCATTATAGATTTGTGTTAAAGTGCTAGGAAGGAAACAAACAGTGGGACAGGAAGGAGGATAACTGGGAAGTGGGAGAGAGGAAAGGGCCACCTTACTCCGTGTGGCCCGGGAAGCTTCTCTGAGAAAACCGAAGGGTTAGAGGTCAGAACCGAGCACCCCAGGAGCAGGCAGCTGCGGCTGCCAAGGCCGTTAGATGGGAGCCCATAAAGAAGTTAGCCTGATTCCTCTAAGATTAGGGGTGTCGAACTCAATCAGAGAAGGGGCCAAAATCTAAAATCCAGCCTAAATCGAGGGCCGAATGGTTTACTGAACTGTCATTGTGATGGAAACGCAGCGGAGTGCAGTGATGACAGCGCGGTGCGGGCCACATTGCAAGGCCTGGCGGGACGGATTTGGCCCGCGGGCCTTGTGTTTGACACATGTGCTCTAAGATGCTAAGCCTCCTGAGGGCAGGAACCTAGGTCTCTCACTTCTCCCAACCTTTTGGATAAATACTGGGTAAAGTAGATAAAAACAAGTGGAATTTCCAACTTGCTGGACCAACCACCCCACCCCCAGGGGGCCTATTGGCCTCTTATCAGTCAGCCCATCGGCACAGCTTAATCTTCACCCCAGCTGTTAAGTATCTGTTCACTCCTGTTCCTTTCCTGGGGTTCCCAATCCTCTGCTTGCACAGGAGGAGCAGGTACAGCTCCGGGATCTGCTAATCCACAGCCTGAAACTGGGCAGAATTTGGAATCTGACTTGTAGGGAGTGAGGGACAGCATATGGCCGAGGGGTTTAGGGTCACTGGGGCCTTGGCCTGGGTCTCACTTCAGGAAGATGAAGAATGCTTCCTTGCACACAGCCACCCGAGCTACAGAGCACACACAGCTCCTCTCACACACCATCCAGCTGCACACTGCATCTCCATGGCAACCAGTAGGCCTGGTCCATGGATGTTAGAAATGAGAGCCAGAGGAAGAGAAGAGAGAGAGGGAGAGACAGAGAGGAGAAACGACATAAAGATACTCAGGAAGTAGCCTCCTAAGGAGGCTCCCATTCTTTCCTTGATCCCCCTGCAGGGAAGACTTGAATGGGCTCAGGGCCTGGGGATGGAGAGACTCAAGGTGGGAACTAAGGAATGGGCTGGGGGCTGTCTAGACACAGGTAACTGGGGCACAGTGGGCGGGGGGGGGGGGGTGAGCAGGAGCAGGGGAACCTGAGTGACAGCTGGAGCCTTGGCCTGTGATACTTGGTCTGGGTGAAAGGCAGGTGAGGGGGATGGGTAGAAGTGGGAGACCTGGGGAAGCTACTTTCCCTTCTTCTAGGCCTAATTGACTGTTCAGGCTGAAACCGCCTCTTAGTCACTTAGTCTAATTAGAATTGTTCTGAGAGAGGACAGTGGGGGAGGGGCAGGAGAAGCTGAGGTGTGAAGGGGGAAGGGTGGTGAAGACAGCTGGGTGGGGGTGGGGAATGGGAGTTCTGTCACCTTCCGCCCACAGATGGGCTATGTCTGGCCAGGTTGTGGGTCACTCTGGCACCCCTGCCAACTGTCATGAGAGTTCCCTCACATGTACCTGCTTTCTGCTCTGGCCCTGACCCTTTTTCTCATGATTTCTCAATCGCTGGCCAGCAATGTTTGTCTAATAATCAGGGGAAGCATCTAGGAGTTGGGGCTGGGGTTGATCCCCTTTGGAGTGGAGGAGATTATACTGAGAATAGCCTCATCTTTGAGGAATAAGAAGGGATGCGGCAGACACTGCCTTGGCATGACCCCCCAACACACACACACACACACACACACACACACCTCTTTTCCCACCCCTCATTAAGCCTTGTTACCTCTAAGGGGCCACCATATGTGGAGCTTGGCCTCTGGAGCTGGATTGCTTGGGACTAGTTACTTCACCTCTCTGATCATGAGTTTCTCTAGCTATGAAATGGGGATAATAAATCCTATATATTGGGAGTGTGGCCTTAAGGTGACAATCAATGCATGTAAACTGCTCAGCACCATAAATTGTAAGTGCTTAATAAAAGACATTGATCACTCCCAGACTCCTTTCCGTTCCCCAGGGCCTTTCAGGAACCTGGACATGTGCATCTTCCAAACTCCTCTCCTTATTCTGCTTGCCTAGTCCCTTGCCTCTTCCCAAGGCTGCACCGTGGGGGTGGTATTGCTCCCATGGGGGGGAAGTATTGTGTGAAAAGTTAGGCCTAGATCCCGCCCCCTGTCCACACGGAAGGGACAGACTCTCCTCCAGTCTGGGGTCTGATTTTCCCTTCTCTGCCTCCTGGAAGAGGAGGAAGGGGGGCAGCCGAAATGATGGAGGGCAGTGTACTTGCTGAGGGGGACAATAAGGGATGAGCAGTATCCAGAAGCCTGAATATTTCATGGGGCTGTAGCGCGGGGAAGGGCAAAGTCCCCAAGCTGTGTTTGCGAATGTGCGCGTGCTTCCGCGTGGCTTGGGGCGCTTCCACACGCCCAGTGCCCTCCGCACGCGCCCCAACCTTCAAAGTGCTGCGCCCACAGAAAACTGTCCCCGTGAACCCTTTTCTCCCCACACCCTCCTCAGCACATGCATATTTTATTTCTCACGGCTCGCGTGGTTTGTTCCGCTCCGTCTGAGGCTGTATTTTGACATGGCCGCGCTTTTCTTGCCCGTGTGTTCAGGTGGCCCCTGTCGTCTGCTCTCCACGGCTGGCTTCCTCCATGTCTAACAGGAGGCTGGAAGGTGCTTTTGCAACCTCTGTCACAGCCTCCCTTTTGTCCCTTTCCTTGACCTTATCCCCGTCTATCATGATTTCATTTATTCGTTGGCTTGTTTAATTTA